CGTGGATGACACTTTTGTCATCTGGCCACATGGCCGGCCTGCTCCAGACCAATTCCTCGACCACATCAATTCCATACACCCAGCCATCAAATTTACCATGGAAGTCGAAAAAGATGGCAAGCTACCTTTTTTGGATGTCCTAATAAAAAAGAGACCTGATGGTTCAATGAGCCACTCTGTCTACAGGAAAGCTACCCATATGGATGCTTACCTGAAACCGGATTCCCACCACCATCCATCCCAGAAGAATTCCCTCATCAAGACTCTGCACCATAGAGCCCAATGCATATCCGACCAGGAACACATAGCCAGTGAACTCAAGCACGTACACCAAGCTCTTAAGGCTAATGGTTACTCCGAGTACACAATCCGCAAAGCTATCACTCCAACCATGAAGAAGGACCCTTTTGAGGAGCCTTTCAAAGCCATCACTTTACCCTACATTGTGGGGATCACAAAAAGATCTCCAAAATCTTGAATAAACACAAGTTCCAGGTCCGATTCAACACATTACATAGAATCCGTGATCTGGTTCCGTCTGTAAAAGATGTGATTCCGGACATACAGTACCCTGGCGTCTACAAACTAAGTTGCCTCTGTGGTAGTAGTTACATTGGAGAAACCAAACGACATGTCTCAGACCACATTCGTGAACACAAAGCAGACCTAAAACACGATAGGACCAACACCTCGGCCGTGGCAGATCACTGTTATAATTCAGTAGGCTCACATGACATTGACATCTCCAAGACAGAGGTTATTTGCAAGCCATCTGGCTACCATGAGAGATTGGTTCATGAGGCTATCCACATATACAAACACACAGACGATTGCAACCGAGAAGATGGATTCTGGCTTAGCAATCATTGGAAGGATTTGATAAACCATTTCGGGTCTTAATTGATTGTTCACGCTTACGGTGGCTTTCAGACCGCATCCATTATTTTTCGTCTCCCCCCTCCTCTTTTCCGAACATAGATGGACTCGTCCATCTGAATAACTGCCAAATCGCTCTCCGTAGTGCTAACGTTTAAAAAACCGCCACTTTTTTCAAATTTTCTTGCTGTGGTTTTTCACACCTGATGATGATTGCTTGTGTTGCAGTCGAAACGTCGTGAGAATGTTATTGTTTTATATTTTTATTATCTTATTGTTTCCCTTCTACGTGACTTTACCGAAAGAACCAAGAATATACTTTTTGTTGTTTGGTCTGTTGTCCTTCCCCCCCCGCACCTCCGATTGGCGCGGTTGGCTGCGTGCGGTGCAAAAGAAGTTCAGCATTTACACATACTGGCCATAGGCTAACATTGCCCATAGACTCAAGGTTGCACCTTCGATTAGCGCGCATGGCCTACGTACGGTGCGAAAGAAGTTCAACGTACACACACACACATACGTACGCAATCTCCTGCCGTGCCGTGGCGTGCGTGCGTGATCCCGGCGTGCAACACGCCGCCCGCGCACGTGAGCACATGGCGCATGGCCCCGCTTCACAATACAAACCCTCGGCGAAGGCCCAGTCAAGGCAGAGAGCTTTGCCAAAAATATCCAAATTACGTATCGCGTTTCTGAGAATAAACATTTTTGGCGGAGTGCTTTGGGGAAAATTGACGATGAAGCCGGCGACACGGTTTTTCGATTCCCTTGTGCCACGGCAAGTGATGCCCGCACTCTCCACCCACGTCGACCAGCTTGGTGAAGTATGGTCAATAATATCTCCACGACCGACGCAGCGCGGGAAACCTACGTTGGACAAAGTGCTGTTAGGAGGTACATTTGTTATGAGTATTATTTTTAACGACAACAACTTATATGTCTATGTGCCCGAGTAAACTAATTCTGATCGGGTGACTGGGCACTACTGTGCACACAGTTGTTTTTCTTATCTTGATTGTTATACCGATATCAATCCAGTGTTTAAAAAAAACACGTCTTGCTGAAAACTCACAGGCATAGACAGCCCAAAGATAAACCAAGCCCAGCGTCTTCCTGTAAAGCTGTGGAGATGTGGATACGGGATTTGGTGATAACGAAAAAAAACACGTTTGTGCCTCATTGTGTGGGATACTTTTAAAAGCCCGCTTTCATGAGCCTCGCTTACCCACCTTGCGATATCTGAAACGTTTACGTGAGATGCCAAAAAGCTCGGCTGTAATCAGCCTCGTGCCTCTTTCCCACTGCACAACACTGAGCCGCGCCAGATCATTCCCAAGCCAGCCTTGGCGTAGCTTAGGAGCAGCCAGCTTGGGTTTTTCCCCACTACACAACAACACAGAGCCTTCTGAGGCCCATCCCAAGCCAGCCTTGGCGTGGCTCAGGAGGAGCCAGTTTGGGTTTTTCCCACTGCACAACACCGAGCCCATGGCCGTTGCCATTGCACGGAATGGATGGGCCGAGACGCGCGTAGGCGATTGATTCGGTGACGACGTGTCCTCGCGGTGTCACCAACTGCCGCGAGGACACGCAGCGAGCGTGGCATCAGCTTCGCCTCTGGCCCTGCCTGCGCCCCCACCCCCTCTCCGAGACAGAGTCAGACGTCTCGTGAGGCCGCCATATTGCGGGTCGGTTTTGGATCGGTACGGAAAATAGCCCAGTGGAAAACGACACGTGGCCGCGAGGTGCCCTGCGTTGGCCTGGGCTCGGATTTAGCCAATGGATAAAGGGGTCTGGGTTCCAGAACGAACAGGGAGGGCTAACACACACGTGTCTTCACAATTGGTCTTTGTCATTGATTACGGCATTACTAATTACATTAGTAATGTAATTACTTGTGTAATCAGTAGCAATTTAACCGGTAAATTTCCCGCACCTCCGATCAGCAATGGCTGGCTACGTATGGTGCGAAAATAAGTTAAACATACAGACATTCGAATCGTAAACTTTATCAGGAAAGTCTTGACAGTCCGCTGAGTGCTTTAGTCACGATACTGCATTGGATGTATGCCACGCTATTGACACATACAACACAGGCACACAGAGAGAGAGAGATAGAGAGACACGTGTTATGAACAGATAAACCGAAAAAATAAAGAGGTCAAGTTTCAGAGAGGCAAACGCGTGAAGAGGTGTACGCATGCTGCCTTGAATCAATCCACTGCTGGATGAGCGCCTTCCCACGACGCTGCGGGGACTTTTTTGTTTAACCTGGCGAGCCGATGACGGATTCTGCTGAACCGCCACAGCAGCCGATAAGGAACCTGTCCATGCATGGCGATCGCACATCCAAGCACCGTCCGGGCTCCAAAAATCCTGCTTGGCTTCTGAGATCCGACGCGACAGGGTGCGATTACGAATGATTTGTTCAGAGTGAGGAGATGGAAAAGGGGGCGAGGTGGAGAGACAAAGAGGGGTTGGATGGGGGTGAGAGAGAGGTGGGGGGGGGGGGTTAAGATAGACGGACAGCTGGAGATGACCGGGTAAGGAGACAGAGGAAGACAGACTAGGGAGACAGATACATCGTCCTGAACAGACAGAAACAGAAAGGCACACATGTATGTATGTATGTTGAACTTGTTTTGCGCCGTACGTAGCCAACCGTGCTAATCGTAAGTGCGGGGGAAGGACAACAGACTAAACACAAAATCAGTTCTAAATAAATGAGTTTCCAATCGAGATTTAAAAGTGCATAGCTCCAGTGACGTACACGCCGCGGCTCGGCAATGTGTTTTTGCGAGGCGTCCCGTCGAGTCGTGAACTGAAATAATCGAGCCTCGTTTATACCACGCTCCACACCACCGTTTTGAACGTGTCACGGCCGCAATAGCGGACGAAGGTTCCAGAAACAGCGAGACAGACGGCCGACTTGAAGACGCGGAGCGCGAAGGAACCGAGAGACGGGGAGAGGATTGTTCCTGAGACATAGAGAGAGGGACTCTGCTATTGCCACCCCCAAAAACACAGAACGTTCCAGACACACCACTGCACCGTTTCTGAGCGTTGACAGCGTCCCATTGCCTGCCCGAAACGGTGCCAATCTTGGCAGCGTTAATAGCGGCAGCGTCGCCCGAGTTGACTGCGAACAGCTGGGCATGCGCAGAGCCGCCGACTACTTCGAGTAAGAAGGTCGCCCGAAGGAAAGGTCAACGCATCACGAAAGGATCAACCTTCTGGAGTCGTCAAACCAATGCCGCAGCCACATTTCTCACGCTTCCTGATCATCTTAGTTGTGGCGTTTTCATTGTGTTCGCGAGGCACTCCTGTTTGAGGAAGTTATATCATCTGCAAGGTTTATAGACAGGCCTTGCATGCGTATGCGGGATAGACAGCTGGGTACATGCGTTGACGAGGCATTCCGTGCGAGCGAGCGGGTAGGTGGGTGGTTGATTACACAGAACAAGACAGATTGTATCCGGGGCTGGTTAGTTAGACAATATTGAGTGGGTAGGTAGGTAGGTGTGGGTGGATACAGAGGAGGAAGACGAACACTATATCTGGGTGGGTGGGTTGGTAGGTGAGCAGCAATGGGCATAGGTATCGAGTGTGCAGGCCGTGCAACTGCACCGGTGCACCAGATGGGACATCGGGGCACAGGTGCCGGACTACGAAGGACGGGACGCCTCATCGCATTGTCGGCGCCAAGGTCCCATGCCAGATGTGCTACACCACCGGGAGGCAGGTAGATAGTCAGGCAAGGTAGTTCAGCAACACAGGTGGATAGGTGAGGTAGATAGGTGTGTATGTGAATGTGTGTACATGGGTAGTAATGGAGGTAGCTGTGTCTGTATGTGGGGAGGATGGGTAGTCAGCTAGAAGCGTAGCTATGCAGGCAGATGAGAGGTGTAGTCAAACAGGTGAGTTGGAAAATACGTAGCTAGGAAGACAGGCAGGTAATCAGGCAGGTAATCAGGCAAGTATGTTGTTTTCTTTATTTTTTCATCATGATGAAACTGGCAAACAAGGTCCGGTAGATATAAGAGCTTTATAGCTCATCGGATTTCTGCCCAGTTTTCTGATTGTGGGTTTTTCCATCGTCTGCCTTCGCCTCCGTGCTCTGCGTGCAGGTCTTCGAGACGCAAGGGGTTGGGATTCGCGGGCGGGAGGCGGCGGCGGTGGGATTGTTGCACGGCTGACCTTCCCCGTCGCGGACCATGCGGGGAGCATCCCTGCTCACAGCCCCCTGACATGCAAGCGAAGAAGGCAAGCGGCCCCGGGGGGCTTCAACCTGCACCCTCGGTCGTCGCGTTCACCACACGCTTTAGGATTTACGCAGTTGGCTCTTTTTGTTGTTGTTGAGTGTGTGTGTGTGTTTTTTTTTTGTCGGAACAGAAACGCGAGCCCCTGTGCGCGTTTTTTGGGGCGTCGCAATTCACGGGGGAGGGGGTGGGGGGGGAGGGGTACGACTCCCGATGATGCAACTGGGACCACGTGCAGGAGGGGAAGTGAAAGGTGGGGAGAGGCAGTGGGGAGGAGGAGGGGGGGGGGGCCCACCGCTGCCCCCCGCTGCCCGCAACCAAGCAGGGACAGACGCTACGTCGTTGGGGGAACAAGATGAACATTTAAATGGGAAGGGGTTAACTGGGGAAGGTGGTGGGGGGGGGGGGCGGGGGGGTAACGTGCGTATGTACGTTGAACTTCTTCCGCTACCGCACCGTAGCCCGCCGCGCTAATCGCTGGTCCCCGTCTGCACGCGAGCGCGTGGCCGAGGCGCCGCCGTACGCGACCCGTGGTGCGCGCGCATCTTTTGTGTTACCCGGAGGGATTTGAGGCTCACCCGTCTTAGGCGCGGCAACTAAAGGCGAGGTCGTGAGCCTCAACTTGAAGAGGGGTGAGGAGTCGACAGCACGGATTGCTGGAGCACAGTGAGGGTATTGGACTTGGGGAAGGGCTAGCAGTGAGGGTTGCGGGCCTTTGCTAGAGACTGCTTCGGTCGTGTGCTTAGGGCTAGGCGTAGAGCTGAGATCGTCTTGGCTCGTGTGCTTAGGGCTAGGCGTAGAGCTGGGATTCCCTTGGCTCGTGTGCTTGGCGCTAGGCGTAGAGCTGAGATCGTCTTGGCTTGTGTGCTTAGGGCTAGGCGTAGAGCTGCGATTCCCTTGGCTCGTGTGCTGAGGGCTAGGCGTAGAGCTGGGATTCCCTTGGCTCGTGTGCTTGGCGCTAGGCGTAGAGCTGAGATCGTCTTGGCTTGTGTGCTTAGGGCTAGGCGTAGAGCTGCGATTCCCTTGGCTCGTGTGCTTAGGGCTAGGCGTAGAGCTGGGATGTGGTTGGCTCGTGTGGTTAGGGTCAGCGGTAGGGTTACAACTCTGGTCTAGTTAGCTAATGTGCTGGCATTCCACGGCAAGGGCTGGCTTCAGTCTGGGCTCGTGTGCTCAATTCCCCCGAGGAGCGTAACGAAACGAACGTCCTCCTCGCCTCGTCGCAGATCATCCCGGCGGGATTCGTCACGTCGCTGCTTTGCCTTGCAGCGGCGGCGTCAGCGGCCGCCGCCGATGACTGTGTTTCCGAAGTTGTGGACAACTTGGGCAGTCTCATTGAGAACTTTGTGAGTACCGGTGAGATGAACAGAGCCAGAACACGCACGGTGCTGCAGAGCGCTGAGTGTGAATGGCAGGTGGTGAGCGGTGAGTGTGAGCGGTGAGTGTGAATGGCAGGTGGTGAGCGGTGAGTGTGAGCGGTGAGTGTGAATGGCAGGTGGTGAGCGGTGAGCGTGAATGGCAGGTGGTGAGCGTTGAGTGTGAATGGCAGGCAGAGCATCCACCTAAGGTACGGTGAATCGGGGTGACCACCCCGGGCCCCGCGCTTTGGGGGGCCTCGTGCTTTCGACGTCACGGTGTCAGATGTAATACTTCCGGGCGAAGGTGGGGGGGGACCTCCCCCCCCCCCCCCCGAATGTGACGATTATCTGAACCGGTCCTGGGTCTCCCCAAGGACGACTCAGCTTCAAATGAGTACCTGGTGCAGTGTGTGAACATCGCCACTGGGGATACAAAGGCGGCCGGGCGTGGTAGCTGGCCACCCACCCCTTCGGGCGCTGCCCCGGCCTTCCATAGGTGCTGCTACTCCCTAACAACACTTGCCCCGACTGTCTGTTAAGGCTCTGCGGGGGATCTTTGTCTTCGAGTAAAGCTTCTTTTTTTCATCAACGTGAGCCTGTTCCGCATTTGTCCACCGCAGGTCAACCAGCTCCCGTTGGACTACGGCGTGACGATTTGGCATCCGCAGGACAACACGGTGAGAAGCCGAAGCCGTTGCACAACACGAACATCCCCGCAGATCAGCCGCACGACGGGTGTGGCTCTCCTGTGTGTTGTGCGGCGCCATGTCCAACGTTTCGCTTCACGTGATGGGAGCTTCTCCAGGAATGCCGTACAACCGAAAAGAAAACGCGCCCGAGAACCACCGGGCACAGCAGCGAAAATCGGAGTCGCTGTGCGATGAGTTTGTTAATTTTGTCCAGTGTGTGTGAACACAAATCGTGAGCGATGAGTGTGAGCGGTGAGTGTGAGCAGTAAGTGTAAATGGAAAGCGTGAGCGGTGAGTGGTGAGTGTGAGTGGTAAATGTAAATGGCAAGGGTGAGTGGTGAGTGTGAATGGCAAGTGTGAGCGGTCTGAGTGGTGAGTGTGAGCAGTGAGTGTGAGCGGTGAGTGAGCAGTGAGTGTGAATGGCAAGTGTGATGCTGTACTGTCAGTGGTTAACAAAGACAAATAACAATTAAACACACTGCCTTAGGACCCGTGATGTCATTTTTGCAAGTGTAGGCCATGGTGTGATGACGTCACGGTCCACATTTTCCAAAAAGATGATGGAAAAAATGACACCACAAATGTCTCAGTCCTCCGGTCCTGCGCCTTAAATAGATGGCGTGATGTCATCTTTCACAATTTCTGGCGACTGCCTGACGATGCTGGCTGTAACCATCAGCGAAACGGCCGCCACCCGATCGCTAAACGTTGTGCGGATCGCTCTCTAGCAAAAACATTCCGCACCTCCGATTAGCACGGCTGGCTGCGTACGGTGCGAAAGAAGTTCAACGCGCCATGCGTCCCTCGCAGTGGTGGCGCTGCTGAGGCTGTAATAAACTGGCACGTTCATGCATCACTCGACGGCTTTTGTCGACTGGCTGTGTCGGGTGGTGAAAGGCTTTACGACACGCAATTTTACTCGCACGGGCGATCTGACCCCAAACATCTCGAAACCCACCAGGACGGCGAGAGAGCCAGCAGTTGGAAAGGGGGTCTCGGGGTCTGCGCTGGGGCTTGTGTTTGGGGTCTGTTGGCTGCTATGCTAAGGGCTAGTCCAGGGGTCGGCAACCAGAATGTACGTTGAACTTCTTCCGCTTTGTGCGTAGCCAACCGTGCTGGTCGGCGCTGTGGGAAATAACAAGAAAATAACAAGAGGGGGGGACATTTTTTCGAATTCGGTTTCAAGAGCCGCAATGCACTGTGGGTCAATACGAGACAGTGGTCTTTAATAAATAACGTCACGAAGTGGCCCTCAAAGAACCCCAGGTTTCTTGTGCAGTGCCCGGGTGGGGTGAAGGGGGTCCTTAGAAGTGGGCCCCGTCGCCATCGTTGCTAAGGGGGTCGGCGATTTCACCCTCAAGTTTGATTTTCCGCTTTTTGGGGGGGCAAACGGTGCGCCCCTTTGTCTTCCTCTCTCCCTTACAGAATTCGGAGAATTGTTCCGAGAAAAACCCCTTTGAGATGGCCCTGGAATCACTGAGCTCTCTGCTCAAACAGCTGCACAAGGGGAGCAATGTGAACAAGAGCGGCGAAAGGTTACTCAAGACGCTCCAAGACATCTGCCATTCGAACGAGGCGAGTTGCAGCGACCCTTTTTGGCAGAGAGTATGCGCGGCTACGCTGCTGAACGCAAAAGCAGCGTGCGAATGAACTCGGCGCCATTAAAAAGGCGATGGCGAGCACGTAAATCATCGTCGTTGCCATCTCCGTCACCGTTGTCGTCATCAGACGTGATCAATAAATTCCACTGCTGGGTGAAAGTCTCCCCATGTCACGTCAGGAATTTTTCTTATTGCGTTTGGCACGTTTTGTTCGGCACGTTTCGTTTACATTTACCAATTGGCTGTGCCAGGTGATGGTTGTGGTGGTGGTTTAACGACGCATTGACACCGATAAAAGCTAAACCCAAAACAACCTTTACCATGAATAATATTGGTCGCGAAAGCCTACGTGTTAATCATAATAAATATAATAGCAGTCAAAATAATAAAATAATAATCATCATCATCATAACCGCGTTGTCGACCACCAGACCGTTTGCCTTTGCAAAGCGCGAGTGAAGCCGGACTCGCTCGCCACGGCCCTCAAGCGCCTCGCGGACGACGTCGGCAAATCCGAAAGGGCTTCCAGCAAGTGCCGCTCCAGCCCAGCGAAAACGACGGACATCGAGAGCACAGGTGATGGGCGACTTTGGGCCTCGGTGTCGCCCTCCACCAATGCCACGGTTTATGGACGCGTTCCAGTCGGCTCCGTTGTTTGCTCCGTTCCCTTCGGTTCCGTTCGTATCCCGTCCCATTCCGTTCGTTCCGTTCCGTCTGAGCGTTGTGTTCCTTCCCGTCTGTCCGCCCATCCGTTCCGTCCGTCGCGTGCTTTTCATATGTGTGCGACGGACGGAATGGAAGCGCTTCTGCTCTTCCTTCTGATATTAGGAAGCTACTGGAGCAATGTACTTTGAAATCATCTAGATTGACAAACTCATTTCTTTAGAACTTCTTTTTGTGCTTAGTTTGTTGTCCTTCCCCCCGCACCTCTCATGAGCACGGTTGGTTACGTACGGTGCAAAAGAAGTTCAACATACGTACGTACATGTCACGACACTTCTGATGGGCAGGCTGCTGGCGGGAGCCCCCATCCATGAACTGTAATCCAGCCTCTGGTGAAAGTGACTCGACTCGTAGCGAACGCAAATTTTATTCGAAAACGCCGACAGATATTCCTTTTCTTTCAGTGTGAGTGTGGTCGTCTTTTGAATATGTATTCATACCCCCCACTTCCCCACCACCCCCCCCCCCCCCCCAATACAAACATTCCTTCCACCTTCCTCTATCCACAGCCTCGCCCGTTCCAGCATCCGCAGCAAACACAGATGCCACCTCCAGGCTGGTAGTGCCACCAGGTAGGTCGTCGTCTTATCTCCGGCCCGAAGCCTAACCCCCGAACACATTCGCTCGGTGCTACGACGCTGCACGTGTGATCTATTCAAGAGCCGATGAGTCCCACGCCTCCAACAAGTCCGTGGGCAGTCCCAGTTAACTGCATTGGCCGTGAGAAACCAGTGGGGGAGCGTGAGTAATGCTGCAAGATTTGCAAAGTTTGCATTTCGTCCTGGCATTTCGGAGCAACTATTAACGTTGCTAAGTTGTCCATTGGTAGATATTTTTTTTAAAAACGCAACGCTTTCCAATGCCTCATAACACGTATTTAGTTTTTTTTTCCTATCCTGGATTACGCGAACGAACAACAGGAAATGTTCACAGTGTTTCGGAGTATATCCCCATTGGTAACAGGAGTTGAGTGGAGCATTTGTTATGATAGTGCAAAGCCCTGTTAAATGTAAACAACATAACCTCAAACACCGCTCGCCCCAGCGCATGGTCACTGGCAGAGCTGCACCACCATCACACGCGATAGCCACGCTATTGGCGTTCCCTCCGCGTAAGCCAGTGGTTCTCAACCGGGCGGAATGCGGAATGCTGGGGGTAACGTCTCAATGTCCCAGGGGGTACGCGAGGTGATTTATAAACGTGTGAGATTACATCGTGTATGAGAGTCATTGGTGAATAATCACATATGCATCTGCCAATATAAAATAACTACGATAACATTTGTATCCATATGGTAACCTAGAACGATATAAAAGACGTTTGTGAACTCGCTGATTGTAAACAATGTGTTGTTTCCAAGAGTAACCAGCGAACGTGAACAAATACAGTAAAATCCAAAGCACTGGTATATCAAAGCACTCGTATATCAATTGTGATCACGTGACGCTCGGCAGACAAGACGTATACGTACTGCTCGTATTGCAAGACCCTCGCTCGTTCATCAAATTAATATTTTTTGCTCGTCTTGCAAAACATTCGCAGACCAAGTTACTCGCAAGCCAAGGTTTTACTGTAATGTCATACATGCAGAATTCGTTTTTTATTCACTTACAGTTTCTAGCTCGCTAGGATACCTCACAAAACGGGCAATTGGTTCAAATATTGACATTCGTTATTCATACGTTTATTTCCCAGAACCATGTTGGGTCAGGCAAGGGAGTACTCGGTTGAAACGAAATTCCATCAGAGGGTACGGTAGCCAAAGAAAGGTTTAGAACCAATGGCGTAAGCATTGCTGTTGTCAGTTAAATATTTGATCGTATCGGACGCAAACCTCGTCACCTTTCCCTCTCCACAGCCTCGTCCGCTCCAGCTGCTGCAGAAAACATGACGGCAGATGCCACCTCCAGGCCGGTAGTCTCAGGTAGGGCATCTTTTTTTCATCTCCAACCTGAAGGACTAAATCCTAGTACTCTCTCTCTCTCTTAGTAATAACAATATCGCCCGTGTGACCCTTATCAAGAGCCGATACATCCCACCGCTCCGACAAGTCATTGGGCAGCCATTTTGCTGTGAGAAACCATAGTGATGGTGGTAATTCCACATTCCCCGTGATGGGGCCTGCGTGTGCCTACATCCCGGCACTTACTGCAGACCGTCTCACTTTCACCGAAGCGGTGCGGACTCCCCAGACGTTAAAATAATGGTCAGGAAAGTCGGTGCGGCACGTTGGTGACGTCACTGATTAGTGACGCACTTCCTGTCGTTAGCCCACCACCAATTTTGCCAAATCGCCTGATGAAGCTGGTTGTAATCACCAGCGAAACGCCGTACTCAGTTTGTAAATGTTGTGGGCTTACTCTCCAACTTACCGGTGCGCTGCAGTAGCAACCAATTGTCATGTTTTGTTTACGTGACAAACCTTACTGATTGACTGTGTCGGGTAGTGGTGGTGGTGGCGGGGTTTTTTTTACGCCACCTTTATACTTACGCGATCTAACACGAACTTTGGTTTTTGCGAACTTACGTGCAACTGAATTCCAGTTGGATGTTTTTACCTCCGATGTCCATTCTCTTTATTGTTGCACTGTACTTGTTTTGTGATTTCTTGTGACTCGGGACACTCTTGTGAATGAGATTCAATCCTGGTCCCGTCCCTCCGCCTCCACCTTGGTCAAACAAAATAAACGTGAAACTTGCAGTGACTCAGGCTTTATGGGGAACCCACAGAGTTATGTGTGGGTCAATGGTGCCATGTTAGTAAGTCTAAGAAGCCCTAGCACGGATGCCAGCGGTGTCAATTATAAACTTATTCGTTAAGTATTCATATGGCCCGGCTCTAAACTCCAACCATGAAGGAACCTCGATTGATAGAGCGTGTTACGTTATTGAAGCTCCATAGACGAGGAATCTCCATTGATTGGAATTAATCTCATTAATGGGGCTCCACGGGCCTCAATTAAGCTCTGATCGATGGAATGAATCTCCATCAATTGATTGAAGCCCCAATTGAGCATAAGCTACGCTCCGTTAACAGGGAATGAATCTCTACGTCGATTGAACAAATCTCCAGCGTCGTGCGATGCTTCGCTTCACCCCCCGCCCCTGTCTCCCCGCACCCCGCCCCGCCCCCCGTTCCCCCCCGCGTTGGGTCTCTCCTGCAGCAGACCACCATTGTGCAAACGGAGACAGCCGAGTCGGAATGTCCGCGGAGTCGCCCTCGGGCGGCGACACTTGGAAGATCTTCGCCTGGGTCTTCATGGGCACCACGGGCGCGCTCCTCGTCTACCTCGTGGTACGCAATAAGAACAACGCGGCCAATGGCGGCGCCCCTGAGGGCAGGGCCGCAGCCACCGCGTGCAGCTTTGATGACCGGGCCACCCCTGACGACGTTCGACGACGTGGCTAAGACGGGGGGCTCGGCAACCTGCGGCTCCGGGTGGCCGAGTGCTGCCCTTCTAAGGGACCCTTCGTGACGCCGCTCACGTGCGTCGCGGCTCTTGAAATTTTGAGGGCTTTTTTTCTGTTTGTTTGTTACCGAATTCGAAAAAAATGGCTTTTCTTGTTAGTATTTTGGTTGCACCAACCCCCGGGGCTGAAGAGCGGGGGCTATTTATGTCATTAAATATGTTCCTGGCCCTTCGACGTTGGAATGTGAAATAGGGTCACGAGCTAGATTTAATTTTATTATTGTCTGGCATGAAGGAATGGCAGGGTTGTGTGCTAAGCATTTGGAAACAATAATGGCGGGCGCTGTTGCAGAGGTTCTGCAAGTTGTAAGCCACAGAGCAGGGGCCAGAGGAGGCTCTTTGTGTTTTCACATTTAATCGAAAGCAGATGCGATGCTTCCGTTCAAAGACTCAATGTCTAACGTGCGTTTGAGGGCATGTACTCGGCATTATGGAGTTTAATGATATGACAGTGACCGTTTTTCTTGAGTTAAAATGTCATTAAACGAGTAATTGTGGGTATGAACACTGCTGCAAAAACGCAACGAGAGGCCGGGGGGGGGGGAGGTGGTCAGGCAGCCAAAATAACAAAGAGAGCCAATTTTCTTTTCAATTCGGTAAAAAATAAAAACTCAATATTTGAAGCGCGAACCTTAAATAACTAAGGTCACGGAGCAGTGCCTTGACGGGACTGCACGCGGTGCTCCAGAGCCACGGGTTTGCCAACCCCCTGACCTCGGCGGATCGGGATCGGCATGGAAACAATGATGAGTCGAACGATAGCAGGGCTGAGAGCGCTTTTTTATCACGAACGGACACGGCAATGAACAGCATCGTAGCAACGTGACCACAGAAGAGACACGTCGTGCCCAAAAACAAACCCACAGCCGCGGGACGACGCGTGGAGAAGCGCACGCAGGGAGTGACGTTTGAGAGAGCGATTGAGGAAAAACGTGGGTCAGAGGTCGCGCGTCACCTTCAGGTTTTTCCCATTAGATCGAGTTTAGCCGCGGGGTCAGGGTTGGACTCCGAGCCGGACGCGAACGCCACCGCGGGCCTGCGGCGTGTCGACTCAGCCGGCGTGTGCCGCGCCTACCTGCGTAGGCGCTACTCGCTCACAGCACTTGCCCCAAGAGTCTGTCGAGGTTATATGGGGGGATGCTTGTCTGTGTGCGCAGGCCGGGTGGTATTGCGAGAGGCGACGCCGCTCGTTGACGACCCACTGGTCTCTGAGGAACCGCCACGTGCCACTGCAGCACGCCGAGCTCCAGATTCTCATGGGCTTGCCGTCTGCCACAGGGATGGAGGCTGACAACCAGAGCGATGACCCGGGCACCGTCGACAACCTCGTATGACCACCGCGGAAGGCGTCGGTGGTAAAGGCGCCCGTGACCCATGGCGCGACCCACCACGCGACCATGGGCCGACGGTGCTGGTAGCCGTTTTACTTCCCGGGCGGGCACCCACCACCTCCGTCCATCGGCGGGACCGTGCGGAGAGCAGCTGTCGTTGTCGTCCTCGCCGCCACCGCCGTTGTCCTCAAACGCGCCCGACTGCCGCTCAAAGCGGTCAGCCCTCCTTTTGAGCCGCGTCTTCAAATACTGTGGGGGGGAAAAAAAAACTGAAAACAGCCACCACCACCATCACTGCCACCGTCACCAACCGGAAGGTGGCCCTGCGTTTCGGTGGGAGTGTTGGGGTCTCTCTCGTTGCTCCCTGTCCATTAGACCTTGAGCCAGTATTTAAAATCCCCCGCATTCTTACACCAAGGGCCTCGTCTATAAACGCAGCAACAAGAGCAGCAGCAACTGCTTTTGACTTCCTTGAGTCATGTGGTGCAGACCGACGGGCGTTGCGTGTTTTACACACCCTGAAGAGGTGGCGACGATGATGACAAAGACGACGATTTTGAGTTATTCCTGATCAGCTCTGATCCCAGTGGATGGGAGTCTCACATCGTTACGGTTGCAGTTTCGTGAACACAGCAGCAGCAACAACAACGACGATCGATTATTGCCCTGCCATGGAGCGGCGATCTTTTAATACCCCCCCCCACACTGCCCCCGCCCCCCCCCCCCCCCAACATTGACAGCTGCGAATGTAACGCCAGACCCTGGCCCGATATGAACTTTCACTTTCCCAAACTCCTGAGCCAGCCACACCGGCGACCAACCTCCACTCCAGAGCGCTTCGAAAATAAGGCGGGGGGGGGGGGGGGTTACATGAACGACTCGACGGCAGCATAAGAACGTAACGCCAACCTCTCCCCGGGCCTCCGAGCATGCGGCTCCAGTGGCTGGAGACGTCGCTGCGTCATGGAGCACGTGGGCACGGCGTGGAGCACGTGGGCACGGCGTGGAGCACGTGGGCACGGCGTGGAGCACGTGGGCACGGCGTGGAGCACGTGGGCACGGCGTGGAGCACGTGGGCACGGCGTGGAGCACGTGGGCACGGCGTGGAGCACCCAACACACGGTGGCGCAGAGGCAACGGCAGAAACCCCCACGGAGCGAGTTGCGGAGGGCCGCGTCTTGCCGGCTTCCGCATTGTCGGCCGGCTTTAAAGGGGTGCCGATTCCATCCACCGTGGAAGGAACGACGTTCATCCAGGTCAACACCCCCCCCCCCCCACCCCCCAATGCCGGATTATCCTAATAGCAAAAGTAGCTACATATGCTACGGGCCCTGCACTTACAAGTGCCCCACGCTAAATGCTTGCAAGCTATAAATTCCTGGTTCAGTGATTCCGCACTTGGTCCATTACTAAATAGTGCTAGACTGCCTCAAACTTTTATGAACTACTGGGTGTTTAAGGTTAGCGACTTGCCATATTATCTGGCTGTATAGCAAATGAAAAAACACAATTACTTTACCATACAAGTTAAACATTTGTGTTATAATTTTTGTGTATTTATGTTAATTTTACTTTTAGTTAGGGCCCCTTTATAACAAATGCTACAGGCCCCGCACTAGCTTAATCTGGCACTGCCCCCCCGGGTTGCAGAGTCAGAGGTCGTGACCTGACAAGGGAGACGGTTTTTGCGAGGAGAGGGAGTGTGGAATGTACACTTGGGCGATTTGCACGTCCTCGTCGCGAGGGTGAGGAGGAGAAAGGTGCCAAGCACCAGGTTGCGTTCAAGATGCGTGATGTGTATCCGGAAATGTATTTTAACTTTAAAACAAAAGAGTTGCTTCGAAAAGAGATAGGCACCCAAGCTGTGATGTGTAAAATATAAAGTATGGTATGTGTTATGTAAGTATTTATGTATATATCTTATAGACGTATAAATCTTGACTTAAGTTTTACTAAGCATAGGACACAAACGATGTCAATTTCACGGCCGTGAACTCACAACAACGTGTAACAAACAACTCACTCCACTCGCAAATAAATAGATTGCCTTCACATCAACTGCACCCTAAATGCACGTCTTAAAAAAATATATATTTTTTCGGGAATAACAGAATGAGCACTTCTTTGGTTCTTTCGGTAAAGTCACGTAGAATGAGAATAAAATAATAAATTAATGAAATAAAATAACACAATAAAATTCTCACGACGTTTCGGCCACAACACAAGTGGCCTTCACCTGATGAAGGCCACTTGTGTTGTGGCCGAAATTATTTATTATTTTATTATCATTCTATGTGACTTTACCAAAAGAACCACAGAAGATGAATCCTTGCAGTCACGAAAGCTTTAAATCGAGAATGAGCACTATACGATATGTGACTCCGTGGAAAATATGAGTTGTTTTTTTTTGCAATTGTCCGATATTCCATCCATTCTTCCCGATGTTCTCTTCTTTCAGCTCCGTCGCTCCACACGTCCGTCAGTGGTTGTGGTACCTGTACGGGGGGAGAGTGGGGTGTGGGAGAGTGGGTGGGGTGGGTTGTTGGGGGCGGTCACTCTAAACGCTCATGAAGTTGGTCCGAAATGAACTAAAACCTTGACTTTAAGCTTTCGTGATTGCAGGAATTCAACTAAAACTTTAAGACAGATTTGCGTCGCTATTTTACGCACTTCGCCTCGCCAAATAACGCCCGCCAATTCGATCAAAGGGTTGTGTTAAAAAAAGATATATTTAAACACAGATTTCAGACGCAAACCAGCGCTGAACAACCGACATTCCTCGGGCATCTGTCCACGACGATATATTAAGGTCACACAATTGCAGGAAACGATGTTGAATATATATATGGGTTTAACATCCCAAGGCATATCCATGCAAGACTTTGACCATCATCTGTGGAATTCGGTCAACTTAGTGATTGAAACTTATAAAGGAGGGGATTTTAAAATCAGTTGTTTTTCTCCCCACTGGCTCAGGACTACAAATACTTCTAAAGAGGAAGTACTTAACAACCAATATTACTTTTCTCCCTCTTTTTAATTTCGAAACACGCGTTCGTTTATAATTTTTCCCAACAAATTCAAAGCGGCAAAGTGTTTGTACGTCGTGGACTTGACAACGTGGGAACGAACTCCCTTTGATGAGAGGAAACAATCAGTCCAGGTTCGAGAGGTCATCATGTCAAGTAATGTGCAACCCTTTTCCAATCCACTGCTGGATGACGGCCCTCCTCACACCGTGTCGGTCATCGGAATCTATTCACCGTACTTCACCGTGGGTTGGCGATGGGGACGTCGAACCTTCTCTGCCTGCGTTGTTCGTATCGCCGGTGTGTTCACCGCTATGCCAGCCGCTCCGCCCGTGGTATCAGTCACACTACTCGCCTTAGAGACGACGGTCAGTGAAGCCGATACGTCAATGCACTGGTTGCACTTCGAATAGCGTCGCGAGACTATGCGGGAGGCTTTGTCGGGACCTTTGAAGCTTGCGAACCTCATGACCTTCGTTATCTGCGACGCGTTTTTTTTAATGTTAATCCGCCCGCTGAATGGGATAAGGCCTGTCCACGCCGTGTCAATCGCGGGCAATCGTTTGAGCATTACTTGGCCACTCTGGTCGGTGGCATTTGGTGAAAAAAGTTCCTTGTACAGAGGGGCGGCTCGGGCATCGCTCGCCACTGATGCCAGCACCCTGTGGCCAGGAGTCGAACTCAGGAGAGCCAGGTTCCTAGCACAGCAGCGGCCAATTTTTTTTTCCCCGCCTTTGCTTGAATAGCGGAGGGACTTGTCTTCATGCTGCAGCTACTGCTCTGGCTTTCACTTTTGAGCATAGACTCAAGATGTGTGTGTTTTGTGTATTCGCCTAAACGATTAAAGCAAGTGATTTATCATGGAATCTTGCAGATTGAGCCGCACTATTGAGCAATATATATAGCAATTTTTTTGGAATGTAAAAAAAACCTAACCTTTTACAATGAATGTGTTTGTCACGTTATTACATGTTCTTAAAAAGTGTGGGGGGGGGGGGGGCGGGAGGGAGGGGGTTAGGGAGTAGGTTGTTTTTTATAAATATTTTTTACTCGCGTAAACGCATCGAATTGTGTGTTCATCGACGCGGCGGTTACCCTAACAGCGTGAGTATACCCACAAGACTCTCGGTTTTAATAAAAAAAGGCAATCGTCGGAGAACGCGTTGTTGGCTCGGGCTCTTGTCGGTGCTGAACGCTGAGCGTGTGACCATCACAGCTGTCAACCCCTTCTCAGTGCTCTACCTCATTACAGACCAATTCAGACCTCATTGGTCACCCCGTGCTCCTTCTAAATCTCAACGTTCATCCTACAAAGTGATATCACAAGGGAGAAACACACCCACAGTTTTCGTGTTGTTGCCCGTATTGAAACGGCTGTACGCCGTATGGACCTGAAAACCCAATTTCCCTGCACAAGAACACGGGGTAAACCGCACGGGTTGACAGCCACGGACCGTGGACGTGAGCAGGCTGGGGGCCACGCTTTGCGAAGCGGAGCTCGCCCAAATCTGACGCGGGCGGTGGAGCCAACACTGCACGTGGCCGGATGCCACCAGGCACCGTGGAGGCATCGGCGAGGGTTGGTGGTACGCTACCTTGGCTCGCGAGGAGAAGGCGGCACGGAAAACTTGGACCCCCCCCCCCCCCGCCCCCAACCTGTGTCCATTTGTATGGGATACAGTGTTTCCCCCACACAGAGTGGTTTTTTTCTCTGTGTGCTCCAGTGTCCTCCCACATGTAAGCACTCACTGATTGTATGTATGGATGCACGCATGTTGAACTTCTTTCGCACCGTAGGCAGCCAACCGTGCTAATCGGAGGTGCGGGGGAAGGACAACAAACGAAACAAATTGGCCGATAACAACTTAATATATAAAGAACCACAGAGTTTTGGGGAAGCGGGGTGTGTGGGGCGCTGAAACTTGGCACCAGCTCACCGCCTTGGCTGCCTGTCCCGCTCATTTGGTTCCTCGCCGCCTCTGACTCAGCAAATACTGCGCGCGCTTCACAAGTTGCAGTTATCTTTAAAACAAATTTACATCGCAACGAAATGAACGTTCACGATGCGGCTAGGAGAAGACCATTTTCAATCGAAGCACGCACTTCCCCAGGCCTCGTAAATGTGGGGCCCGGGTGCAGACCGACTTTGCGCGACTCGAGGACGTTGCTTTGAGGATAAGACCACGTCTTTAAGACTCCGCAAGGGAGTGGGGCCAAGCATCCCCACATGCACGACCCTCCTTCAAGACGACCTTGAGACTTGGCGAGTGAAGACGACGTTGAGAGTCGGTGAGTCTTCCCTGCGTAAAACGAGTTGGCAGTTGTACTCTGGACTATTTGGCGAACGCCACGTCACTGTTTTGTTACAAAAGGGCTCTTAGAATGTGGAAGCAAAAGGAGAGTAATAGAGGCTTTTTGACGTTAGCTTGGCTGTGTCGGTTGGTGGCGGGTTTAACGACACATTTACCCGATCTAACCAAAAATAAACCTCTATTTTGGATGAAATTGGTCGCGCAAGGCGACGTGTCAAAAGGAGAGTAGTCCACGGTGCTTTTGTTAGCAAGTGATGCGCGGGTGAAGCAGGGAAGCCAGTGGTCAAGTCCATCCTGAACCGGTGGTGACCAAAGTTTGCGAGCTCCGACTACGCCGCTGTTCACGGGACTCATCATCCCGACCCCCCGCCCGGGCCTGCACTCCCTATGGACGGCCCTGGTGACGGGAGTCGTTTGACCGTACTTCACACTGCAGCGGTCAGTGTGGGATGATGGAGGCAGGACCAGTAGGGGGTGGCCAGGACTGGCTTCAGACATCCCTAACCAACTGACGGTCATCCATTCACAAAATAATAATAATGTTCAATCAGGTCGCCAAGTTCATAGCGCAATGTGCGCCGATCAACAGGAAAAATCGGACGTAGGCTTTAAAAACCCGCCTCTGTCTTTGCAGTGTCTGTTATCTGCGATCGCATCTGCGACTGATCAAACGCGCGCACCAAATGTCAATACGACATTTCGTGTTACCAACGAAATGTCAACAGTAACGATGTGGGGTTTTTTTGTGTTCTTTTGTTTCTGTCGCTCTGTCATGCTTCGACTCGAGGCACCGATGGAGAAAAATACTCCCACGGAAAGAGAAGAAGAAATACGAAATGTTTACTTTTTTTTAACGAGTTCACTGGCCATTCCCCAAGCTGTTAGAGCTGCGAGGGGCGTTCAGCTGGCCACAGCGAAAAAAGGGGGAAGACCCCGCAGTCGTGCCCTGTACATAGCGAGCCGCAACAATGAAACACGTGGAGGACATTACGACAAGAGGAGGGTGCAAGCAGTCGCGCAGTGGTTGGGGCACTGCGGTTCGTTAAAAGTCGGATTCGTGACAATTTTTTTTGTCCGTAAAAAAAAAAATTCGGAACGTCTTTTGGGACTGTGCAAATGTCGAAAATTGCCCGTTTTTAATGCTAATGACTAAAACATATCATAAAGGTTATATTATTTTATTTTGTGTGTGTGTGTGTATGGTACGGTACTATGGTGGTTAGGAACGCACTGCTACTACGACCCCGAGTGACCTGAGGTTTTATTTTCCTCGCTATTCTTCGCCCATGCTGACATCTGTGGAAAAATAGCGTTATAGCTCATCGGATTCCTCCAGTAAATAAATACATACAGTATTCTGATTCTGGTAATGTACTGTATGGTCAAGCAGCCGCACAATAACCGACATGGCATGAGATGGCCTTCATCCAGCAGAGCACTCAAAGCAGGAACGTCATTGTCACCGATGATCATTGTCGCCGATGATCATTGTCATCGATTATCATTGTCACCGATGATCATTGTCACCGATGATCATTGTCATCGATTATCATTGTCACTGATGATCATTGTCACCGATGATCATTGTCATCGATTATCATTGTCACTGATGATCATTGTCACTGATGATTATTGTCACTGATGATCATTGTCACCGATGATCATTGTCACCAATGATCATTGTCATCGATGATCATTGTCACCGATGATCATTGTCACTGATGATCAT